CTTGTGTGTTTATGAAATCAGGAAAGCAGAAACCCATGCTGTGCTGGAGTCTCCAATTCATTGTTTGCAATTGGCTGGTTGATCATCAATGAGTTTTAGATTTAAATAGCACTAAAAATAAACTATTCACTCTGTATTTCCTTCAAGGTAGATCCTGGATCATATTTAAAGTCAAAGCAATCTTGGGCTTATAAGGTTGGAGACCATTGCTATATGTGTTTTATTTTACCTGGTACCAGAAATCCTCATCTATTTTTTCATTCATTGAGTCCCTACAGTGTAGAAACAGGCCCTTCAGCCCAACAAGTTGACACCGACCTTCAGAGCATCCCACCCAGACCCTTCCCCCCATAACCCACCTAATCTACACATCCCTGAACACTATGGGCAATTTAGCATGGCCAATCCACCTAACCTGTATATCTTTGGGCTGTGGGAGGAAACCAGAGCACCCAGAAGAAAGCCATGCAGACACGGAAAGAATGTGCAAACTCCACGCAAACAGTCGCCTGAGGGTGGAATTGAACCAGGTCCCCAGTGCTGTGAGGCAGCAGTGCTAACCACTGGGCCACTGTGCCATCTAGTGGGTCTGTAATATCACTCAAGAAAAATACATCATGCCCCTCAGCATCTTCAAATTCCTGGACACTTACAGAACTTTGTTGTCTGTTTTTAACATTTTATAATGCTGATACTGCTCTGAAATGCCATGATCCTTGATAAAAGTGGCTGGGCAAAGCTCTTTTCTGATGAAGGGTCTAGACCCGAAACGTCAGCCTCTCTGCTCCTATGATGCTGCTTGGCCTGCTGTGTTCATCCAGCCCTGGACCTTGTTGTCTCGGATTCTCCAGCATCTGCAGTTCCTACTATCTCTGGGCAAAGCTCTGACTGCTGAGCTTCTTCAATAGTGGCAGCTGTTCCCTCTTTATTCCCAAGTCACCATGTAGTAAAGTTGGATCTCTGTAGTATTTGTGAATTGAAAAATACTGTTACTAATCCTCTTTCCGTGATTGTGTCAATGTGGTTTTCAGTGGTAGAGGAATTACCACCATTGAGTCTTAACAAGATAATTTATTACATGATAGCCAATACAAGTTACATTAGTGAAAGTAAAACAGTTGAGATTAGCAAGAAACTGGTACATATACCAACGTATGAAATAGAGGCAGAAATTGACCATTCAGCCCTCCAAGTCTGCTCCATCATTCAAAAACATCATGGCTGATCTGTTCATGTTTCAAATTCCAAATTCCTATCTACCCCCAATGCCTCAGCCTGATAAAAAAAATCTCCATATCCATCTTAAAAACATTCAATGAATCTGCCTCTACCACCTTCTGAAGTAGAGTTCCAAAGTTGCATAAACTTCTGAGAGAAAGAATGTCTCCTGATCTATGCCTTGGAAAGGTGAGCTCCAATTTTAAAATAGTGCCTGCCCAATAGATCCAGACCTACAACAAGGAGCAATATCCTTTCCATTTCAGCCTTGTCAAGGCCAATCAGGATCGCATACACTTCAGTTATAATATCCTCACTCTTCTAAACTCCAGTGGAAACAAGCCCAGCCTGTCCAAACTTCCCTCAATTAAACATCTCAGTCAAACTATTTGTCTGCAAATCATGACATCCTAAGATGTTCTGCCTTGCCCCAACTCAAGCCTCTATTACATCAGTAGGTTTGTTAAAGCTTAATGCAGTGTCCAATAATAACCTTTCAAACAGGGTCCAGGTTGTTGATAGATGACAGTTCACACTCATATGTATGAATGTCAAGAGGTCTTGTTCATTATAACTTTATTTACGATAGAGGGTATACTGTTGAACATGCTACACACTCAGTCCCAGTTCGTAAATCATCACAACCTCCTGGATGCTACAGACCATAATATACATTATTCCATCATACTACACTTTTGTTCCTTGAAAATGTGCCATTGAATCTTTTACATTCAGCTAAGAGTGCAGCTAGTGCCTCAGCTTAACTTTTCATTCAAAAGACAGCTCTTAAGACAGTGCAGTGCTCCCTCAGTGCTATGCTATACTGTTTTAGTGATCAAGTTTTGGAATGGAACTTAAAATCACAGCTCTTTGATGTAGAAGCCAAAATACTATTCACTAAGCCAAAGCTGGTTTTACATTGTTCACATTGTGGTTTCTGATTTGAAGCTTAAGAATTTTATTTCCAACTGGCTTTACGCTGTGTCCATTTAGACTGGAATTTTAGTAAGTAACAATGTAGATATTCTGTTAAATGAGGGCTTCCCGCTTGTATTATTTTTATCATTTAAATGTGATCACAAGGTAGGCATTCTACAATTCTCTACACATTTATTTTTATCCGTGACTCTGATGTATCCTTCTGCTTATTTATATGCAGCATGTTACCTGTATGGATGCATTTATTCCTGTTTATGTTACTTATAGAATTATAACATCATAGAATCCTTACAGTGTGGAAGGAGGTCATTCAATCCATCAAGGCTGGACTGACCCTCCACAGAGCATCCCAGCTAACCCTGTCCCCCACCCTATTCATGTAAGCCCTACATTTACCGCAGCTAATCCAACAAGCCTGCATATCCCTGGACACTATGGGCAATTTAGAACATAGAACATAGAACAGTACAGCACAGTACAGGCCCTTCGGCCCACAATGTTGTGCCGACCTATTATCCGACTAAGATCAATCTATCCGCATACCCTACATTTTACTATCCTCCATGTGTCTATCCAAGAATCCCTTAAAAGTCTCTAAATTATCTGACTCTACTACCGCTGCCGGCAGCGCATTCCACATGCCCACCACTCGCTGTGCGAAGAACCTACCTCTGACATCTCCCTATACCTTCCTCCAAACACCTTAAAATTAAGCCCCCTCATAATAGTCATTTCTGCCCTGGAAAAATGTCTCTGACTATCCACTCTATCCATGCCTCTCATCATCTTGTACACCTCTATCAAGTCACCTCTCATCCTTCTTCGCTCCAATGAAAAAAGCTCTAGCTCTCTCAACCTTTCCTCATAAGACCTGCCCTCCAGTCCAGGCAACATCCTGGTAAATCTCCTCTGCACCGTCTCTAAAGCTTCCACATCTTTCCTATAATGAGGTGACCAGAACTGAACACAATATTCCAAGAGTGGTTTAACCAGTGTTTTGTAGAGCTGCCCATAACCTCACAGCTCTTAAACTCAATTCCCCTGCCAATGAAAGCCAACACACCATACGCCTTCTACAACCCTATCAACTTGGGTAGCAACCTCGAGACATCTATGGATGTGGACCCCAAAATCCCTCTGTTCCTCCACACTGCTGAGAATCCTGCCATTAACCCTGTATTCTACATTCAAATTTGACCTTCCAAAATGAATCACTTCATACTTTTCTGGGTTGAATTCCATCTGCCACTTCATTGCCTAGCTCTGCACCCTGTCAATGTCCCGTTGCAACCTACAACACTATCCACAACTCCACCAAACTTCGTGTCATCAGCAAACTTACTAATCCACCCTTCCACTTCCTCATCCAAGTCATTTATAAAGATCACAAAGAGCAGAGGTCCTAGAACAGATTTCTGCGGAACAACACAAGTCACCAATCTCCAGGCTGAATACTTTCCATCTACTACCACCCTCTGTCTTCTATTGGACAGCCAGTTTTGTATCCTGACAGCCAAATTTCCCTGAATCCCATGCCTCCTTACTTTCTGAATGAGCCTACCATATGGAATCTTTTCAAATGCTTTGCTAAAATCCACATACACCACATCCACTGCTCTACCTTCATTGATGTGTTTTGTCACTTCCTCGAAGAATTCAATAAGGCTTGTGAAGCATGACCTGCCCCTCACAAAGCCATGCTGACTATTTCTAATCAAACTGTGCTGTTCAAAATAATCACAAATACTACCTCTCAGTATCCTCTCCAATAATTTGCCCACCACAGAAGTATGACTGACGGGTCTATAATTTCCAGGATTATCCCTATTCCTTTTCTTGAACAAGGAAATGACATTTTGCCACTCTCCAATCTTCTGGTACTACTCCAGTGGACAATGAAGATGCAAGAATCATCACCAAAGGGGCAGCAATCTCTTCCCTTGCTTTCCATAGTAACCTTGGGTATATCCTGTCTGGCCCAGGGGACTTGTCTATCCTCATGTTTTTCAAAATTTCTAGCACATCCTACTTCCTAATATCAACCTGTTCGAGCATATCTGCCTGTTTCATGCTGTCCTCACAAACGTCAATGTCCCGCTCACTGGTGAATACTGAAGCAAAGTATTCATTAAGGACCTCCCCTACCTCCTCTGACTCTGTGCACAAGCTCCCTCCACTATCCCTGATTGTCCCTACCCTCACTCTGGCCATCCTCTTGTTCCTCACGTAAGCATAGAACGCCTTGGGGTTTTCCTTGATCCTACCCACCAAGGTTTTCTCCTAACCCCTTTTCAGACTCCTGAGTCCATTCTTCAATTCCTTCCTGGCTACCTTGTAGATCTCTAGAGCCCTGTCTGATCTGTACTTCCTCAACCTTAAGTAAGCTTCCTTCTTCCCCTTAACTAGATGTTCCACATGTCTTGTCATCCAAGGTTCCTTCACCTTACCATCCTTTCCTTGCCTCAGTGGGACAAGCCTATCCAGTACTTGTAGCAACTGCTCCCTGAACAACCTCCACATTTCTGTCATGCATTTCCCTGAGAACATCTGATCCCAATTGGTGCTCAATAGTTCTTGCCCAATAGCATTGTAATTCCCCCTCCCACTATTAAATAATTTCCCATACTGTCTGCTCCTATCCCTCTCTGTGACTATTGTAAATGTCACCGAGCTGTGATCACTATCACCGAAATGCTCTCCCACCAAGAGATCTGACATCTGGCCTGCTTTGTTGCCAATCACCAAATCCAATATGGCCTCCCCTCTAGTCGGCCTATCTACATATTGAGTCAGAAATCCTTCCTGGACACACCTGACAAAATCTTCCTGGACACACCTAACAAAATCAAACATGGTTAGATGCCACTAAGTAGATGGCAATGCCTTTAACCATTTATGTGTTGTACGGCCACTCGGACTCCTTCCATCCTTATCAAGGGGAGTGCTAACCTTCTCTCCTTTCATACAACACTAGCATGACCTGCATATCTTTGGACTGTGGGAAGAAACCAGAGCACCTGGAGGAAACCCACACAGCCACGGGGATAATTTGCAAACTCTTTTATGTTTCTGTGTTGATATTTGTAATTCGTTCTGTGATTGTATATGTATGCATTTGTGTTTGATTATTTCTGGAAGCCTGTTTAAATCATTGTCTGCTTGTTTTTTTTGTGTGTCTGGCCTTGGTCCATTCTCTCTCTGTCCCTTCATCTCCATACACTCTTATTTTCTTTGCCTTTGACTTCCTCTCTTCCTCTATATGTATATTTCTCTTTCACTGTCTCTGACTCTCCCTCTGCCTATCTATTTCTCTTGTTTCTGTCTCTGTGTCCTTCTCTGCCTCTTCCTCTACATCTCCGATTTTCTCTCACTCTCTGATTCTGCTCCAGTTTATAATGCTGAAAATCATTCGAAAGAATAGTAAAAATTTTCAAGATTCTACTTTTGCCAGAAGGCAGTGTCTCTGCATCTCTTGAGAAATACATGCACTGGAGATTGAGTGACAAGTTATTTTCCCAAAGTCTGAGGCTTGTTTTGTGTATCAACCACTGTATCTGAAAATCACAAGAGATCCAGGATCGATTTGTCTTTCTGTCAAATTGAGATAACATCTCAGCATCATTGCGGTGTGATTGACAAGCCATTCTCTGCAAGTAGCTTGTCTGCTTCATTTTGAAAAGCACTGTAATTACCAAGAATGGTAACCACAAAAGTGGCAGGTTTAAAATAAATTCTTGAGGAGGTACAAGCGATTGACGCAAAGAGTACTTCAACCATCTAGAGGATAACAGGTTGTGTGCTACACCGAGAGAAAAAGATGACTTAGAATTTGCGACAACACAGCAAGATACTCAAGGCACTGTTTTGAACATTGAGGGTGTAATAGCACAGAGCGAAGAAAGTCACTGGTGTCCCACTGTTTAATGTTTTGCTTTCACCAGCCCCCTTTTTCTTGCTGCAAACATGTGCCAACCACCAGTGCTAGGTTAGCATTGAATAAATGTTTTTGTTGTGGTCAAAGGGATTGTGATTTTAGACCTAAGTGCATCAGGTTGAAAACAGTTGGCAGCTCATAGAATTTGTATGCCCAATGTGTGATTAAAATATGGCCTGAAGTGGCTCCCACACAGTGCTCATCACTGACATGTGCCTCAGGCAGCTTTACCTTATTATAGGTGCAGTCACTATTAAAGGAAATCTTGATCAATGCACTGCAGGCTGTTTGATATTATAAATGGAGCCCTGAGCCACAAGCCAAATGTTGTGTCTCCTAGATTTTCCTGTCATCCCCACTGCTGCTTCTGTACTTACAAATGCAAGATGCTGCCAATGTGACCTGCTCTCATCTGAAAGGATCCTGCAGCATTAAATATAAGGGTGCAAATGACCTTCACAGTCACTGTGAGTGTTCTGTTATGTCTCACAGTCGGTATGACAGTATACGTTTAGGAGACATGCCCGAGTTATCATCACTGAATCATAGCATGTGACCTAAGGGTACTAAAATCTCAGATTCCATCTTAACTTGGGTCACTTGAAGCATGACACACATACTGGGAATGTATTGGTCTTTGTAACTGACTAGCAGAATATGGGCACAGAATCATAAGTGTCTGAGAAATGTAATGCTTATATAATACAAGACAGCATAGGAATAGGCCCTTTGGCCCACCAAGCTTGTGCTAATTCCTAATCCTTATTTAGACCCGCTATTTATTATCCATGTGCGGTATCTTTCCCTCTGTTCATCTCACGTTCATGTATCTATCAAGATATGCTTTAAAAGTTACTAACATACCTGCTTCCACCACCTCCACTGGCAGTGCGTTCCACGTACCCACCACACCTCATGTAAAAAATTTTCCCTGCAATTCTCCCTAAACTTTCCTCTTCTCATCTTGAACCTGTGCCCTTTTGTCATTGAAGGCATCACCTCGTGTATGATAGATAGCTCTAATAAATAAAATTTGGTTTCTACACCTAGCTGTTTATCCAACAAAGGATTGTTGTATCAGGTAAAATACTCTGTTTGAGGCAAAATACATATTGGGAGGGCAGTCCTTACCAGGCTGAAAGTTCCAGGTCAGTTTGAAAAGGTGCTGTAAGTCCATTTTGTTTTATTCACTCACAAGATGAGGGTGCTACTGACTAGACCAGCATTTATTGCCCACTCCTAATTACCCAGAGGCCAGTTAAGAGTCAACCACATTACTGTGAGTCTGGAGTCTCATGTAGACCAGACCAGATATGGATGGCAGCTTCCCTAAAGGACTTCTGTGAACTGAAGAAGGGTCCAGACCTAAAATGTCAGCTTTCTTGCTCCTCTGATGCTGCTTGGCCTGCTGTGTTCATCCAGCTCTACACCTTGTTATCTCAGATTCCCCAGCATCGGCAGTTCCCACTGTCTCTGTGAACTTGATGGTTTTTTTTCCAACAATGGATTTATGGTCATCATTAGAACGATTCCAGATTTTTATCAAATTCAAATTCCAACATCAGCCATGGCAGGATTTGAAGATGGCTCTCCAGAATATTACCTGCTCTCTGTGTTAATTGTCCAGCAATAATACCACGAGGCCATCACCTCCTTTAAGAGTTATAGTGAATTCAAAATGTTAACGCTGTTTTTCTCTTCATAGACACTGCCAGACCTGATGAGTTTCTCCAGCATTCTCCATGTTTGTTTCTGAATTTGAGCACCTGCAGTATTTTCCTTTATTCACCTAGTGTCTGCCCCGACTTCTTCCTGAAACATTCTTCATTTCTTTGTCATTTGTCTTCACAGAAAAAGATGCAGGAATAACAGTAGTTGGAAAACCTTAGTTACTTCAATCTTCCCTGGTCTAGGAGGACAATATCATCTTGAGATATTTGTTCTTAATCACTATTGTACTTTTACTTTGGCAAGACAGGATGTTTGTATGTTCATATGAGCAGTGGCTCAGTGGTTAATGCTGCTGCCTCACAGCACCAGGGACCCAGTTTCGATTCCAGCGTCAGACAACTGTTTGTATGGAGTTTGTATATTCTCCCCGATGTCTGCATGGGTTTCATCCCACAGCCCAAAGATTAGTTGGTTAGCCATGGAAACTGTGGGGTTACGGGAGTAGGAAGTGGGATGTTGGGTGTGGGCATGATGTCTTTGGAAGGTTGGTGTGCATTTGATGGGCTGAATGGCCTGCTTCCACACTGTAGGGATTCTATGAACAAGCATACCCTGGGAAAGAAAAGACCAGATTTCATAACGATGCATTCAGTCACCACTTCTATGTTGTTCCCTTCCACTATTCATTGACAAGCTTCACATGTGAAGATGGCCCTTGGCTAACGTACTGGAGGCTTTTGGTATCCCTGGCATCGTACCCTTGTATGAGCTTGGATTGCCAGAAGAAAAAGGGAACATTTGGAAAGAAAATGGAAATGGAACTCAAATTGTTTATTATTAATCCAAAAACAAAATAGACAATGCCTCATATTTCAAGTCGATATCATTTCATCAGAACTGGACACAGTTAGAAATGTAACTAATTCAGGCAAACATAGAAGAAGAGAAAGGAGGGAAACCAACAAAAATGGAAGATCTGCAATAATAGGCAAGACTTTAGAGATTAAAGGACAAAAAAGATAAATGTTGCATGCTACATTACAGAAATACCATTGCTCTTCTGTTGTCAAAGCAGTCTGATGCACATTTCAGACAGAACATGCTGTATTCCAAGAGTTAACTTGCCTTCTAAGTACTGTAATGTTTGAGAGAAATGTCAAGGCAGTGTGACTGTCTAGTTTTTTTTTACACATTTTCTTTCAGTAGGGAGAGGATTTCACACCAGATAAAGCTTTGGCTGTTCTTTCATCAGTGTCAAAGCCATGAATAAGTCATGATTAGGGGCTGCTCTTAAATAAAGGAATATCTGAAATGCATCAACAGTGTCCAATCTTCTACTTAGAGTTTCCACGGAGAACAAGAAATTTAATGGAATCGTCATGGAGTTTTTTTTATTTTCCTGCTCTGTAATATCCCACCAAGCATTTCCAAATCACAATTAGCTGGTACTGTTGCAAATTCACTGACAGCTTTAACATAGATTTAAACATTGGTGCTGAATAAAGATTTCTCTGATTGTATGTATGAGCCATTATCTTAATCTCAGACCACCAACTACTTCTACAACCAGCATTTTCCTTTTTACCAGTATTGCCAGTTCTTCCTGCTTTCTATTTTGTCCTTTATCCAGCACTCTTAAATACACTTTGATCTGATATATTCATTTTCTGCTGCTGTTGAGATTGCAGCCAGGTTTCTGCTAATGTTATTAAGCATGGATATTTCTGTAAAATAATTGATTTCAATTCTCCAGTTTATTTCCCGCATTCTGCATATTGTGATCATTGTGTTTCACTCATACTATCCCTATTCTCATCAATTTTATGTTTGTCTTGGCTCCCACTTTTCTTAATTTCAGCTTGCTCTCAGTTTCAAACTACTCTACCTTAGTTCATTCATTTACTCCATGTCCCTTTTGCTAATTTGTTTTCTGCATAGATATTAACCTATCTCTGTATTCTATACATTCTGATTCTGGTTTGTTTTATTTTCTTATCCCATTTTTTCACCTCTCCCTTTAACTATTTTGTCAGTATATTAGTATCCCCCTTGTTTAAATACAGCCTACCCTTGTAGAAAAGCTCTCATCTGTGACAGAACCAAGGCAATGAACTGCAATTTGTAATTACTTTCCCTAATACCACACCTTTATCTAGGCTATGATTTTCCTAATCCTATTGTTCACTATCTAACACCAGGAGCCTAGGAATACCACACGTGAACACTAACCCTAGGTTTGTTTCCTAACCTCTAAAATCCATATTATCAGGAATTCAGACTTTTCCTTACATAATCATTGAATTCCACATTGACTCGAAGTACTCCATTCTCTCATAAATCTTAATCCAGTCTATCCATTTTTTAAT